TCAACAACCTATGAGTCCACACTCACTGTTACAGACAATACATCTCTGGAATTTACAATTCAGTGGTGCGCGTGGTGAAGACGTCGAGAATTATATAAATCGAATCGATGAGGGTCGTGAATTATTGGTTATGCGTGAATCAGATTTACTAAAAGCCATTCCTTTTACGTTAAAAGATGCAGCGTTAACATGGTACAGAGGTCGCGTCGATTCTTTTAGAACATGGCAAGACGTTAAGATTGCTCTTCGCTCCAGATATGCAGATCCAAATTATCAGTTAGCTTTGCGTGAAGAAATTGCTAATCGTACGCAGGCAAACAACGAACCAGTTTGTGATTACCTTGCATGTATGAATGGTCTTTTCGCCCGAACAGACCCACTATGGTCAGAATGGGAATGCATCCGCTATGCTCACAGAAATATGTTACCGTCATTCAAATTAGTGATCCCATTGTACAGAAACCTAACTATGGACGATTTAGAAGCGTACGCGTCACGCCAAGAAAGAACACTTCAAAGTGTAAACCAATATCGCCCCCCACCACTACCAGAAAACTCTATGTGTCCAGCGTATGCGTACTCAGGACCTCGTAAGGCACACTACCAACCACCCCGACCATTACAGCACTTTTCGAAAACTGATCAATTACATGCGGCAGTTGATCATAGCGTACCGTTACAGAACAATGCCGAAGGTTACAGTGACATATTAGACTCCCTGTTACTACAACGACATAATCAGCAACGAACAAGCGATTTTTCTAAGTCACCTGCAACAAGATCCGGTGTCAAAGATAAATCTAGTGAATCTAAAACATCCAATTTAGTAAATCAAGCGTCACCCGCGGTAAATACTAATAGAAATGAAACAAGTGACACTGAATTTAGATGTTGGAATTGCGACAAAACTGGTCACGGTCACAGATTATGCCCAGAACCTAAACGCAGATTTTGTTACCGTTGTCGAGCCTCAGGTGTTACTAAACGAGATTGTCCCCATTGTAATAAGGGAAACTTTCAATAGTGAACACTATCCCGACAAGTGTATCGCTTCCAGAATTAACGTCGGAAGATCAGTTACAGTTAGAATTAGATGTTACCGAAATTAAAAAGCTACAGGATACGGGAAGCCTATTTCCAGACCAGTGTTTAAAGTTACAGAATAATGTAGAAATAATCGATTTTGCGAATTCGGTCTCAAACAAAAGACAAGTAGCATTCTGTGTTGACTTCACCCTTGCAGGACGTGAGATTAGGGCCCTACTCGATTCTGGGGCTAGTAAATCATTCCTTGGTCAAACAGGGATTGAATTAATAAAAAATATGGGATTAACCGCGAAAAAAATTCCTGCTCGTAGAGTTACAGTCGCGAACGGTAATAACCTCCGTATCGAATATGCAATCGACACCGAAATAAAATTGAAAAACCGAAATTTTCAAGTTAATCTTTTAATAATGCCAGTCCTATCACATCCGTGTATACTAGGGTTAGATTTTCTTATACAAGCCGGTTTGATAGTCGATTTTGCCGCAAAAAGTTGGTACTATAGAGACGACCCGAACTCTACATTCACATTTATTCCAGAAAATTCTACAGATCGTGTTACAGTTTGCAATGGGTTACAGATATTAAGTGACGAACAGTCTGAAATTTTAAAAAAGTTTCTCGATGAAAGGATACCGCCGCAACCGGATAAACTACTAATTACACCAATGGCTAAACATGATATTGACATCGGCGACCATCCACCAATTCGACAAAAGGCTTATGAGATGACACCAATAAAACTAGAAGCATTGTGGAAAGAAACAGATGAATGGTTAAGACAAGACATCATAGATCCTTCACAAGCAGATTGGGCGAGCCCTCCAGTATTGACAAAAAAGGCAGATGGGAAATGGCGACCTTGCATAGACTACCGTAAAGTAAGCTCCTGTACAAAAAAAGATGCATATCCAATTCCAAACATGATCGGGATTTTAGATCAGTTAAAGCAATGTAATTTCATCACAACTTTGGACCTAACATCAGCATACCTCCATGTTCCACTGACAGAAAGAGCTAAGCCGATAACTGCATTTATTGTACCAGGCAGAGGCTTATTTCAATTCAAAAGGATGTCCTTCGGTCTAAGCAACGCACCAGAAACATTCCAGAGGCTCATGGACCGTGTTATTGGTCCAGCATTGTTCCCTCACGTGTTTTGTTATTTGGATGACATCGTAGTCGTAACAGAGACTTTCGAGGAGCATTTGCATTGGCTTGACAAGGTCCTTGCAAACATCAAAAAGGCCAACATGGTAATCAACAGAAACAAGAGTCATTTCTGCTGTGCTGAACTACGATATCTTGGATTCCGAGTCAATTACGAAGGATTACAAACTGACCCTGAGAAAACTTCGGCGGTCCTGGAATACCCACAACCACGAACAGTGAAACAACTACACCGTTTCCTTGGAATGGCATCTTGGTACAGAAGGTTCAATCCTGAATACGCAACAAAAGCCGCTCCACTGTACAAATTGGTCAAGAAAAATCAACCCTGGGAATGGAAAGAAGATCAGGAGAGTGCCTTCAACACATTAAAATCACTGTTGACAACCACTCCTACATTAGCATGTCCTAACTTCAAACTACCATTCACCTTACAAACCGACGCAAGTTCTGTCGGATTAGGAGCAGTGTTGACCCAAAATATTGAAGGTCAAGAGCGAGTGATTGCTTACGCTAGTCGCGCCCTTTCAAATGCCGAGAAGAACTACATGGTTACAGAACTGGAATGTTTAGCCGTAGTTTGGTCCGTTAAAAAGTTACGTTGTTACTTAGAAGGCTACTCATTCACAGTAATAACGGATCACAGTAGTTTACGCTGGTTACACAATTTGAAAAACCCAACTGGTCGACTCGCAAGATGGGCTCTAGAACTCATGGAATATGACCTGACGATCATCCACCGGAAAGGAGCACTTCACCACGTTCCAGACGCTTTATCGCGCATACCTGAACAAATGTCGGATCAGGTTAACCAAATTGAAGTGATAGAAGACCGATGGTACTTGAAGCGTCTACAGGAAGTCGAACAACATCCTGACAGGTTTCCAAACTGGAAAATCGAAGATAATCGACTTTACTACCACAAACCAGCTGATTTTCCAGAAACCGAAGTTACAGACCTAAACGCCTGGAAGTTACTACTCTACAGGGAACGTCGCCTAAAAGCCCTACAGGAAAACCACTCAACTCCACAATCAGGACACCTTGGTGTAGAAAAGACTCACCGCAGAATCGCCACACAGTACTATTGGCCAAGTATGTTCAAGGATGTAGTTTCTTTTGTCCGAAACTGTGAAATTTGTCAACGCACCAAAGTCGAACAAATCCGTCCTGCTGGTTTTATGGGAAAAAAGACTGTTGAGGAGCCTTGGACAATAGTAGCTACAGACATTATGGGACCTTTAACTCCGAGCTCCAGAGGTAACGTGTACATCCTCATCATTCAAGATTTGTATACTAAATGGATAAAGATACAGCCCTTAAGAAAAGCTACAGGTTTAACAATATCGACAGCGCTACAGGATTTAGTCATAAACCGTTGGGGATCACCGAAAGTTTTGCTTACAGATAACGGTACCGAATTCATTAACAATAGCATGAAAGCCCTAGCGACAAAAATAGGATTTCGTCATATGACCACCCCACCTTATCGACCTCAGGCCGATCCTGTAGAGCGAGTAAATCGCGTAGTACGAACCATGATAATTGCGTTTATAGGGAGAAGTCACCGGGAATGGGACCTACACCTCCCAGAATTTCGTTTTGCACACAACACAGCGTACCATTTCTCGATTCAAAGTACACCAGCTTTCCTTAACTTCGGACGCGAACCTACAGCCGCGATATCCCTACGCCGAGAATTAGAAAGAGATATGGACATTGTCCATCAATCAATCTTCTTTAGTTTGGTCAAAACGGATGCAACAGTTGAACGAATTGCGTAATAGTATAGTCCACGCTCTAGACAGTGCTTTCCAGAAACAATCACACTACTACAATCGCAAGCGACGCGATCAGCGATATGAAATCGGCGACTTAGTATGGAAAAAACAACGCGTATTATCGTCCGCAGACAGACATTTTATGGCAAAATTAGCAGATGCGTTTCACGGTCCATTTATTGTTACCAAACGCATATCAAATGTAGTTTATGTTCTAGAGGACCTACAAGGGCAATCAATGGGAAAGTTTTCAGTACAAAACCTAAAACCTTACCACGCACCACTCCAAGATGATCCAGATTAACCTAAAGTAATAAAGTAGTTACAGTACTTAACAAAGATCGTTACAGAATTTAAAATGTCTTACATAATTAATAATTAATGTTACAGTATTCCTTACGACTCAGTATGTTCAACATCGAGTTTCAACTTTTGTCTTTGTATTTGTCTATATTTGTATTTCTTGTGTTTCTGTACACTGACTCCGAATGTTGTATTTTGGTATAATATTCATGTCCAGAATAAGTTACAGTATAATCTAGTGTTCCAGTATTTTCAATAAAGTTAGTTTTTCAATAAATGATACAGTGAAATTGTCTTGTTACCGTCCAGGTGGTGGATATTTTATCCTTATTCGATTATTACAATAAAAGAATGTTACAGAATCGATGGAGTATCCTACGCCTGACACCACGTGTCCAGTAGACGAAATGGAGATCCTTCAGATCTCCGACTCGGAGGGTGACCAATCAATGGTGGGTAGTCTCGATAACTACCTGATAGAAGACGAGGAGGGCGAAGAGCATCGACCATCCTCACCAAACTCATCCAGTGAGTCCACAGGACGTGGAGGTAAGGCTAGAGGAGGATCCATTCTGGGATCCAATCAGACCGTTCCTGCCCGCCCTAGCATGGTTGGAACAATACAGGCCAGGACTGTTTCAATCGCTACAGGAGATGGTACTGCGGTGCAGTCATCGGGATAACGAGGAGTGTCCAATCCGATGGAGGACAAACCTAGCAGGAAGGACAGCTCTCCCGAGCGAAGTGCAGAATTGGCCACTGTCAGCTCCGGAAAAATTGACCAGGCGAGCCAAACGGGGCCCATAATGAAGGAGAATGGAACCCAGACGACAGAGCCCATACCACCCATGCCGGTGAAACCTACTCCCGGACCTTCCCATGAAAGGATGGATCTGGACGAGGTTTCCTCGGACTCAGACACGGGTCCATTTGACCCTTTTAAGAAACCTCGTCAACCCGCCGAAAAACCTGATTGGTGGACCAAAGAAGACTCTTCAAGTCACCAATCAGAGAGGTACATTCGACCCAGGAGGCGCAAATGCTGGAGAAAGCCGTATGCGAAGCCAAGGGAAACGGGCTACAGTCGACCTCCCGAACCTACGTGTTTCCTGAACGCCAGAGGGGAACCAGTTCCAGGCCCATCCCGAGAACCAGCTCCAAGCCGAGCACGAAGCCCGGAACCAGTTCCAGGCCCATCCCGAGAACCAGCTCCAAGCCGAGCACGAAGCCCAGAACCAGTTCCAGGCCCATTCCGAGAACCAGCTCCAAACCGAGAACGAGGCCCAGAACCAGCTATAGGCCAAGCACCAGGTCCACCACCAGTCCAAGCACCGGTTCCAGCCCCTCGACGCCTCTGTTGGAATTGCCAGAGACCAGGGCACAACTTCAGCGCGTGCCCCGAACCAAGGACCGTCTTCTGCCAGATGTGTGGCCGACGAGGGTACACCGCCAGAACCTGCCCGAAATGCGGCAAACGATGGGCGTCAATGGGACCGCATGTTCCGAAATACGGGAGGAACATCCCAAGGGACCACCAACACCCATACAGACGACACCGTTGAGGCCAGTGTCAGATTTATTATATAAGAATAATTTTTCACTCATTCTCACTCATTGTTCACCCACTTTAACTAATTTATATTCACTCATGATAATTCACGTATTATTCACTTAATGTCACTTACAATTTACTTGAATTTTTTCACTCATAATTCACTCGAATTGTTTATTAATTGTCCACATAAAATTCACTTGAATTTTTCATTCATTTTTCACCTACAATTCACTTGAATTTTTTCACTCATAATTCACTCGAATTGTTCATTAATTGTCCACTTAAAATTCACTTAAATTTTTCATTCATTTTTCACTTACAATTCACTTGAATCGAGAGTAGTCCCTTTTTTTTGAACCTCCAGAGCGTTAGCTCGGTATCGGGAGTGCACCTTGTGAAATTTAGTTTTATCGTAATAGAGTTTCGTTTATATTTATTGTAATGTCAATAACCGTTTAGAGTTCAGAATAGTTGGTGTCCCGATTTTAAAGGATATTTATTCACGTATATTTTTCCCTTCCACAATCTTTCCGTTGAGAGGCGAGTTATGACGTTATTTTTACGATTTACGTCACAAAAGCACTAATCTGAGAACATTTTTTCTAGTATTTGAATTTTGGTAATATTAATTGTCTTTGTTAAAGTAAATTTGTTACAGTGTCTGTTTTAGTATTTGTTTAAGTAATTATTCTACACTTAGCAGAAGTCCAATTGAAACATTGGCGCTCCATACTAAGGAATTTTGATAAATTAGTTAAGTTTTAGTGAGTTGGCAGGCTTTGTCAAACGAAAGCGACTTCGTTTGGCAAAGAAGCTCTCCTTTTGGGTTAATTGACAGGTTCCTATGGTCAAGAAGGTCGCAATCTTGCCATAGGAAAAGTCGTTTTAGTTTAAGTATCATAGTATTAGTAATTCAGAATTCTGGGAGAAGCAAGGTAGGAGAAAACCCCCTTTTTGTATGAAAATATCGAGAATACCGATAAGTCACCTAACGCCAAAATTCAGTACTAATTTCAAATTAAAATAATTCTGCAAAACCTTTTGAATCTCTCTCTTGTCATCGATCCCTTGTTCTGTTAACATCGTTAGTTAATTTCACCGGTTTTAGTAAAAATATAATAGATTTAGAATCAGTTCTAGTTTAGTTACAGTTTAATTCTTTTATGGTTTCGAATTGTTAAATAATATGTTACAGTGAGTTTAATATTCCAATTAATTATTAGTTTAATGTTTTCTTTAATAAATAATAAATTAAAAGTGTAAAATGAAATCATGATCCCTATCACGAGTCAACTTATCATCGATACAAAATCTGTAAGTTATTTATATTATTTATGGTTCTTTGTTATAACCCAGAATACTCAAGTAATTCTGCTTATGGTTTTTTATTATTTTAATTATTAATTATAAACGACAAAATGATCATCACTATTTATTGTAACTTGTTAATTGAATTTCGTTGGTACAATATACTTAATTATTTTTATCTAATCGATTGTTAATTTATTTATAATTCCGTCACTGTGTTCTAAACTACCTTCTCTTTCTTAAATACAAAACTCACCCCTCTCTCCACGACCAGCATAGCTGACTAGTACCGGCACGTGCAAAGGATCTAGTTAATATTAATGTTTGTTTAGTCGGTCTTAATTAAGTATTGAGTAATGTTTGATTTAATGATTTTTGATTAATTATGTTTTAGTCCGGTTGACAATACCGGCAATACGAAAATTGTCTGGCGCCCTACCGGGGAACGCCTAGACAAACTATAAAGAACTAGATTGCACAAGTAACGTTTTCTTTAGTTAAATATTGAAATTCGGTTGAAATCAGATTTTGAGTATGTAAAGTTGTCTTAGAATTCAGTTACAGTAACTTTAAAATTATAGTTTCAGAACTATTTTGGATTTATAAATGATTGTTTGTTATTAATGTTCCGTTTAGTTTCCTTATAATAGTAGTGTAGAAAAAAGCGTTACAATACTCATAAATTGTTTATAAATAACCTAAAATAATCATAAACAAACGATGACATATGGTATTCTATGCTTTAAAACTTTTTCTTTCTAAAGTTTTTAAAATTCCATCAAAGAAGATTTGGTTATATGAAATTTGCGCGAAAATATTTACAAAAATATAATTGAAAAAAAATTTAAATTGATCGGATTTACTTGAATCGTGTCACTCGGTAGTTTCTGGGGCCGCTGATAAAGAATCTGTACTGCCGTCCAAAAGAAAAAGATACATAAGCAACATTACCATCAATCCGAGAAAATCAAAAAAAACTTTTTGCCTCTTAAACTTTAATTCAAATTAACTTTTTTAAAAAATTTTTTGATCAATATTTAATAAAAAATATTCTGCTTCTCATTATGTAAAAAAAATTATTTTTTTAAACAATTTCTATTGTAAAATGGACATAGTAGTGATAAATACAGACGAATAAAGGCACAAAGTCGCTTATGTTTTATTTCTCAGTAAACTTACTAGAGCTCAACCCTGCCGTCCAGAGGAAAAAGATACATAAGCGACATTACATAAAAGAACTGTATAATTATCGCTTTTCTTCTTCTGTAAACTCGACTCACTCTCAGACTATTTTACAGAGGAAAAACATACATAAAGATACAGTCGCTTTCTTTAGTCTGTAAAGTCAGCTTACTCTCAGACTCCTTTACCGAGTAAGAAGATACATAAGCGACTTTGTGTATCATTTTGTCCTGTAAGTTGGTAACGTATGCAGCGTTGATTATCAAAATATGAACCCACAAAGTGTTTTATGTATCTTTGAACTCTGTATTTCGTCACTTTCTCCATTTTTGTAATTTTTAAACAATCTTTTTTTGCAATAAATAATTTAATTTTTTTACATAGTTAAATGCAGCTTTTTTTATGAATCCAATGATACTAAAAAGCCAATTTTTTCAAAAATGTCGCTTATGTATCTTTTTCCTCTGGACGGCAGTGTAATACATCTGTTTTATAGTAAACCCAAGAATTCTTTTTGATAAATTTGAATAGTTTTACACCTATCACACTTCTGTTTTCCGATAATATTTTTTATTCTTTTTGTAGACAAATAATTAAAATATAATTTTTCACTTTATATAATTTAAATGCAAGAAAATTAAATTAAAGAAAACTGAATTTTTTTTTTAAAAATGAGAAAGTTTATGAATAGTAATTCGCCTTGGAGCGTGTCAGAAATGCTAGACGGTGAGTGACATTGGGGTGACGATCCAATATCCCCATCATCGCAGTCCACCCGGCCAGGCGCAGATGGATCATGTAGTGTGTTGCGTTGTTCTCTTAGTAGTCCGCCTGACCTTGTACTTGCGGAATTTTGATCTTTTCCTCCTGTAATAATGTTATTATTGTTATTATAACGTGAGATGTTACCTTGTTAGTAAGCTGAAGTAGAGTTTTTCCTTTTCTTTCTGTCCCTGCTCGCAGGTGAAGGAAGATTTTTACTAGTTTCCAGTGAGCCTGAGTGATCTCTTTTATTACTTTTGTTGACTCGCGAGAATTCCCTCTCAGGCATCCCCGTTTTATGCCGGTGATTGTTCTGGAGATTTAGTTTTTCAGTCAACCTTGTGGTTACTTCTTTGAGTCTCTCTATAGCAGACTTTAGTGAAGACGTAGACATGGCCGACCCCGGCCGCGAAAAGGATAAATCCATGTTTTGAGATTGTTGGGATGTTAATCTTCTGAAGCCTCTTCCTCTCGGAACATAAATAGGATTGCTAGAGTTAAGCTGATGTAGGTCTTGTTGATTATCCTTCATAGATTGCTCCATATTCCTCTCGATGGCCTCTTTATTGATGTCGCTCATTTTGAGATTTTGTGATACTTAAACTCTATACCTTTTTGTAAAGTGCCTAGCTGAAAAATAATTATACAATGTACATACTGATTTGAACTACAAATACTTTAAACCTAAGCTTTCAATTATCTATTATTACTATTCTTATTTCGATTCTCTTCCTCTCTTACTCTATTCAAACTTTAATTCAAGAATTCAATTACCAATTTATTAAAGTTTACTCAAACATAATTAATTAAACTTCTGGGAGTCTCTTCACAATAGCACTCCCCCAATAGTCGTGATATTTATATATTTAAACGATGAAAAATAATAAAGTGAAACAAAATAGAAACCAATAAAAGAGAAAAATAAAAAAGAAAAAGCAAATAAACAAAATAAATAATTAATAATAGTTCTCTTTTTCCCTTTCCTCCCCCTCTCTTTCCCCAACCCTTCCCTATTCTGGTTGTTTAATTTTAATTAAATACAAGTTTTCCCCTTTTTTCCTCTCTCCTTCTTTACTTCCTTTAGGCTCAAAATTTCTGAAGCGTGCCACTAATTTTTCGATAGAAATATTTTTATATTTCATATCAATAATTTTATAGTATTTTCGTACCATAATATGACCCCAAAGTTGTTTTTGCAAAATTTTAATTTTTTTAAGAGTTATTGTTTAAACAATTTTTAAGCATTAAATTATTTAAACATTTTTTTCTAGCGTTCTATTTGATCGATTTTAATAAAATTTGAAATGAGTAATATACAATAACCCTGCTTTCCAACAAAAAAAATTTGTTAAATTTTGTTCATAATTTGTTTAAAATAGCAACAATTGTTATAAACAAATAGAAATAAAATATACTTCTCCGCCTAATTTCGTATTTTTTCTTGTCAATTATGATACCCTGTTTTATCACGAGTATTTCCCAAAAAAAAAAGTTAGTATATTGCATTAGGTCAAAAGTTATTAATATTTTAGTGGCCGCGCGCGCTGCGATATTGACGCGCCACACAGTGAGATTTTCTTACAATTTACTGTTCAAAAATTTCTACAGCTTACAATTTTTGAACGATTTGAGTGTTCTTGGATTTAAATTAAAGGGAATTAAATTCTTTAGACATCCCTCGAGTCCGATTTTTAAAATTTTAATTGTTTATAATTTTTTAGTTTAATCAAAGTTAACAAATTAATACAATTTTGTAAAAAAGGACGTTTATTTCTTATTCCGTTACTGAACATGATCCAAATCAGTTTAAGTTGATCCAATATGATCACTAGGCAATTAATAAAATATAAAATAATTTATTTTAATTGTTGTAAACAATATTAATTAACAAATAGATAACTTTAATTCTTATTCATTAAAAAAGTTTTTTTTTGCGTGTAGTTTTTTATTAAGGTTCATGTAAAGAATATATATCCTCCTTGTTTAAAAAATAACTTATTTAAATTGTTATAAACATTACTAATTAACAAATAGTTAACTTTTGTTCCTCTTCACCAAAAAAATTTTTTTTTCATGTGTGGTTTTTTATATAGCTTCATTTAGAAAATGTTAGAAGGTAAGTATAAGTCATTATTTTAAATAGTCTGTAAACTTATAATAAGTTTTTATACTTACATTTTAATTTTCTTTAAATGAACCTTAACTTAATTTTGCAGTAACAACGTCGGAACACTTATGCGACAGCAATGCAGATGCATTTTGTTACATATGTGGACAATTCGATGTCCTCAAAAATCGTAAATCAATAAATAAAAATATCAAACAGATCTACAAAGATTATTTTGATCTTGAGATAACCAATCAGGATAAAAATTTTGTTTCACACAAAATTTGCAGTTCCTGTTACACAATGTTAACTCGTTGGAATCATAAAAAAGAGGATAAACTAAAGTTTATAAAGCCAACTTTGTGGGAAAAACCATTAAATCAAAAAGATTGTTATTTTTGCAACACCAATGTGCAAGGATATAATAACAAAAATAAAAAGAACATATTGTATGCTAATGTCCCCACTGTAAAAAATAACCAGAAATTTCATGCAATCCACCTTCTTCTCCCAAAACCTTGGAAATTGACAGTTTAACTGAAGATGTTCTAGATTTTAAAAATAAAGACATGAGAACCGATGATGAGGACGACTATTACCTTCCGTATAATGAACAGGAGATAAAGATTCGACAAACGTTTAACCAAGAAGAACTTAGCAATCTCATTAGAGATTTTAAATTGCCGAAGGATTGTGCAGAACACCTAGCATCAGTGTTGAAGAAGAAAAACTTGTTATCAAAAGGCACAACAGCTAGCTTTTATCGAGACAGAGAAAAAGAATTCCGACAATATTTTACAAAAGATGAAAATCCGTCGTTGGTATATTGCTCAGATGTTGTCGGACTCATGAATAAATTAAAAACAAATATATACAAAGATGAAAATTGGAGACTATTTATTGACTCTTCGAAAAGAAGTTTAAAAGTAGTACTACTACATAATACTAATATTTATGCTCCAATTCCAATAGCGCATTCAACGGAAATGAAAGAAAACTATGAATATATGAAACTAGTTTTGGATAAAATTAGATACCGAGAACACAACTGGCAAATTTGTGGAGATTTTAAGATTTTAAGCATACTACTTGGACAACAATTAGGTTTTACAAAAACACCATGTTTCCTGTGTTTGTGGGACAGTAGAGATCGAGTAAATCACTACATTAAAAAACAATGGCCAAAAAGAAATTCTTTCGAACCAGGTTCAAAAAATATAATAGAAAATCCCCTAATCGACCCTTCAAAGGTGATAATTCCATCCTTATACACGAAACTAGGAGGAATGAAACAATTTGTCAAAGCCTTAGATAAAGAAGGAAACTGTTTTAAATACCTGGAACAAAAGTTTCTAGAAAAATCTGATGCGAAACTAAAAGAAGGGGTTTGCGACGGACCACAAATTCGCAAATTGTTAAAAGATGAGCAATTTATCACCAAGATAAATAAAAAGGAGAAAGCCGCATGGCTTAGTTTCAAAGCAGTTGTCGAAAATTTTTTGGGTAATCACAAGAGTGAAAATTGGGAGCAAATAGTTAGTGATATGATTAAAAATTTTGGTAAGTTAGGATGCTTAATGAGCATAAAGATGCATTACTTAGACTCGCATCGGGATCGATTCCCTGAAAATTCAAGAGATTACAGTGAAGAACAAGGAGAACGATTCCATCAAGATCCTAAAGAATTTGAGCGTCGTTATCAAGGAAGATGGGATGTAAATATGATGTCCGACTACTGTTGGATGCTGAAAAGGGATATTGTACCTTGAGGCACCAATTTGAAACGAAAACCATTACACAGATCCTTTGAGGACAAAAGAGTGCGCTACCATAAAAGGACGTGAATACCTTACTTATGTATATAAGAATTTCCATTTCGAGTTTTTAAAAACCTAACTTCAAATTCGTAATCAGCGACCCAAAAAAACCCTAGATACCAAGTTTGAAGCAAATCTATCAATTTTTAAAAAATTCGTCCGCCATATTGGATCCGCCATTTTGAATTTTGAAAATCTAACTTCAAATTCGTCATCAGCGACCCAAAAACCCCTAGTTATCAAGTTTGAAGTAAATCCATTAACTTTTAAAAAATTTGTCCGCCATATTGGATCCGCCATTTTGAATTTTGAAAATCTAACTTCAAATTCGTCATCAGCGACCCAAAAAACCCCTAGTTACCAAGTTTGAAGTAAATCCATTAATTTAAGAAAAAATAGCCTACCTCTCAAAATCCGACAGATTTTTTGAGGTTAGAAAAAAATCCTGACGTAATGGAGCAAAACGGACTTCGGATTCGTGTTCAGCGCGTCAAAATACATAGGAAATGACTAGTCTGGTCTGCCGCGCACGACACTTTTTTTTGTGGGGCTGTGATTATGGTAGAGAAAAATGGGGATTAATATTATATTAAAAAGAAACTAAAGATTAATATATAAAATTGAAAATAAATAAAGAGCATTAATGAATAGAGATAAAATTGTTTTTAATATTTGAGGTTATAAAGGAGAAAATAAATAAAAAGCATTATACATACACAGAGAGAAACTGAGAATTAATATAAAATTGAAAACAAAAAGAGATAATTGTTTAAAATGTTAGATTATAATAGAGAAAAAAGTACACTTACCACGTTTTGTCCATTCTTCCGAATTTGTAAGTCAGGTTTTTACTGCAGAAAACTTTAAATCCTATTATTGAAAATTGAGAAATAAGTTTATTAAATTTAAATATTAAGTAATAAAATAAAAAATATATTGATTAATTATTATATACTTTTCTTTTTTTTCTTAGGGATTCTTGGGAAATCTGCATTCAGATACCTTGGACTCCTGGGCCGTCCTGAAGACTCCGCATCCTCAGCTGCCTGCAATATTGGTGGTTGACACCTTATGCCAAACTTTTCAGAGCACCAAAAACAACTTGGGCTCTTTTTACAGTTGGTAAACTTGTCACTGGCTTCACCGCACTTAAAGCACGCAGTCGATAAGCCCTCCTTCTGGCATTTCGCTCCAATATGGCCTAATCCCAAGCATCGCTGCCACCGGACGACCATTACTCTTTTTTCAATTGGGCAACACATAAAACCAATTTTTACGTGTCCCAATTTCTCCAGCCTGTTCGCCTCTTCCGGGTTGGTCACTACAACTGCGAATTTTATCCCTCGGCGGTTGGGTCCTAAGACCGTCACTCTCCTGCTTCCTAGCTTTCCCATCGCTTCAGACAACTTGTTGCACCTCGGCTTCTTGGGTAAGACAATCCAAATCACGGATCTCGAGTGTAGCTCTTCGATCCAACGACTGCACCTTACCCATGCTTCCAACCGCCTTGGTGGCGGTTGACGCTTTTGAGATTACGTCTATAGAAACGCTCTCTCTCTTCATTACCGTCTTTGCGGTTACACTTCGCACTGCTAAGAACGCATGCCAAATCGAAGTCCGACTCATGGGACACGGCAAGCTTTACTTTTGCCTCTTTCAGCAGGACTTCGATGACTTTGAGTCCATCTTTTACCGACCTGTTGATGTTCGTCTGAATGTCGCAAGACTTCATCATCTTAGCAACCTCCAACTCCATTTTGTCGAGACAAGTCGCCTCCTCCTTTCTGAGCCTCAAGCATATCTCGCGAGACTTTTCTATCTATTTAATCGTCCGAAGTCATCAGGGGAAGTGCTTCCTGGTGTATATATTTGGACGTGATTCCCGAATATTCAAGAGCAGCAGGAAGACGAAGATACTTTGTTTGCGTCCTGTCAAAACACTGACTGTGGCCATATTGGATTAAAGGGCGACGCGGAGTAAACGACAGCGACTAATAAGTGAGCGCTCTGCAATACCAGCGGCAAATATCTTACCTCGCGCAGATGAGAGTAGAGAGCAAAATTGTAAAATAGTACGCCGGGAACTCACCTTAGAAAACTAAAAAGAAACGCGTGTATAGCGACGCTCTTGTAGCCAGACACACGGCCATTTTGATTCATTCTCGTTTTGATCGTGTAGTAAGAAGCATCACGCCATTCTAAAATTATTGAAAACTGTTTTTTAAAAAATGTAATTAAGTGTCATGTCTGAAAGAGATGCCATGCGGGGTCTTAGGCGCATCGATGGTGAGTCCCAGTAATCTCAAATTGTCATTTTCTTGACAGATTTGCAATAATTAAAATATTTCAAAAATTGTGAAAAATAATGCTTCTCACCACCTGTGTCATGCGGTAAATTAATTTAAAAATTCGGCCTTTTGCCAAATATAATAATTGTTAAAAGAAACAATAATAATAATATAATAATAATATAATAATATAATAATAATAATAATAATAATAATAATATTATTGTTTAAACCACTCGGACGTTAAAGAATATATTATTGTTATATGAAAAATTTAAAGTAAAATTTATTGAATAAAAATTATTTTGTGTAAAATCTAAATTCAGTGACAGTGTAATTATTTTGTTGATCTCCTTACTCCTCCCCTCCGCTGTTTATTAGGAATTTTTCTAATAATTTCTGAACTAGTCAAAATATTATTTTTTTTTGGTTAAATAAAGTTAAAAACTGGAGTAACATTTCAAAATGAATATCCTAAATTTTCAAAAGTCATTAAAAAATTATTAAAATAATAATTAAAAAATAAGCAAAACGTTATAAATGGCACCCTACGTAAAGCCCGAGAAAAACACAATAATTAATATTAAAACAAGCATCGATTTTCGAAAAATAAAATGAAATAAAAATATTTGATTGAAAAATATAGTGAGAATTCCTGTTCAAACATGCTTAAAAATTAATAAAAATTATTTCTTATTAATAATAATTAATCTTATGTAGACTAGCAATATTTAGTATGAATCAAATATAGTAAAATAATGTTTAAATTATGAAACTTACCTTAAATATAAAGTGTAATGTATGAATTAGAAATAATTAAATTATTTGTTAATGAAACAATATGCCGCCATTTTTACCCGCGAAATTTAAAATCCTAATAAAATTTTTTATTACCAATTAGTAGTTAAACTCTGCCGGTAAAAACAAGATAGCTTCTAGCCCACTTAAAACTATAGAAATAAATTTTAAAATCTCCTGCCACGGGGGTTTGAATTCGCTGGTGGCGCCATCTAACAAAACAATATTCAACCTATACCAAGACTCAGTCGGTAAACCAGATTCATACCTGACAAACCATATTTGAATTCATGGTCGATACCTACCTTACCAGCTGATGTTAATGTAGGAATCTGCATTGCCGACCGATGGTAACTTAGCCGAGATCAGAACCTGTCCCAGAACCCCCCTATCTATACTACTAACGTAATACATTAGATTTGTAGGGTTGGATCCTACACCAGTCAGGAATGTGCTTTTGTTTTTTGGGAACTGACTCTCTTAACACACACTATTTTTACCACAAAGGTAGGAATTTTGCGTTGAAAGGAAAAGCCTCACAGATATTTATTCACATACTAGTGTACCGATATACATTCAAACGCACGCCTCTGTTAGGTCGCGAGAGCAGGGTGGGGTTCGGGGGGTCTCCCCCGACGGGGCCCAGGGGCAGCGTCCCGTTCGGGGGCTTCGGGGGGCGAATCCCCCCACCCACATAAAAAATAAATAAAAAGAGAAAAAACTTAATGTTTTGACTGATTTCTCTATGTAACATCATTTTTACTCCCTAGGGAGTAAAAAAATTTTTACTCCTGCTACTATCAACCAATCAGAAATCAGAAATTCGAGCGAGTTACGAATGAATTTCTTTTGGAAAATTTCTGCCCGGTAATTTGTATGGAATGCCGCACGAAATTTCCATACAAAATTCGGAAGGAAATTTCGCCAAAAATGTTTGAAGAAATTTTTAGCTGACATTTCGTGTGGAATTCCATACGAATTTCCGAGCAGAATTTTCTGAAAATTTTTTAAAAGAAAGCCGTTAGTAATTCGCTCGAATTTCGTAAGGAAATTTGGCAGAAAATTTTTGAAGAAATTGCCAAAAGAATTTCCGTGCGAATTTTCATACGGATTTACGCTTCAGTGTCGCCAAATCAATGGCTTGGCAGTGCATGCTGGATGTAGCAACTTTTCTCTGTGCGAGTACAGGAGAATATATAAAATAGCCTACGGGAGAAGCAGTAGAAAGAAACAAGCAAGAGTTTTTAGCAATGTTTCCAGGCGTGATTGACTATGGACAGTTGTTAAGAGTGCAAACATTCTACAATCTCCTACATGCCAGAACACGCAAAATAATAGAGAGGACTTTTGCGCTACTTACGAGTCGTTTTCGTAAATTAAAATATTTATATCTGCAAAACGTGGAGTACGCGTCTGTTATCATATTTGTTTGTTGCTGACTTCACAACATTTGGATAAATTTCAATGATTTACTGGACGGAATTTTAAATAGTGGAGAGGATTATTTTGATCAGCAGTTCGACGATAAAAATGATAATCCGGTACCAGAAGTAGAGGAGAACGGGGCGAGGCAGCCAAGATGGCACATTTTGGTTAGCGAAGCAGTTATTTAAATAAGTTTTTTCAATTTTAATATCGCGTTAGAAAGCTTGTCTTATTGGCCAATGAAATTTATATTTTAATATAATAATTTTAAATGTTGGTAAATATAGTTCATTAATTCGCTTCTGATACTTTTGAATATCCTTAATCCTAAATTCTATCGATTTGGTAGTTCGAAAGGTTTTTATTTTGAATTCCGATTCTGGAACAAAACGATGATTTGCTCGGCAGCGTTTAATTGTTTTAGCTTTAGAAAATCGTCCTGATAATTGGGGTGATATTTTAAAATTTTAATTTTCATCAACTTTTAGAAAGCTTATTCCTCCTATATGAGTTTAACACTTTTTATTGTATTTTAACCATTAATGATATGTGATGACACTTATCGTACCAATCGTTTAACTGTCCCCCCTATCCCATACAAGCAGCATATGGCTTTTTGGATCGTCAACCTCTTGTGGTATCGCAACGAGATAAGGTCAATTAGTATACTATATCAACTGACCTTTTCTTTAAGATGGTACTACTTATCCCCAGGAGAGCTCATATCAGGAGCTTTGTAAATAACTTTGATGAGGAGACATGGAGAGTACAACTCTAGAAGAGAACTCGATATGCTGTACAGCAACATGCAACCAGTGTTTCGTTTGCACATTAGGAAAGAAGTAATCGATTGTGTAACCACCCTAATACAGCGTGCTGAGAAGATCTCGGAGACTCTGAAGGCACTGTAGTAGCTAGTTCTTTTATCGACATGCATAATGCAAAAAATAATGTCTGCCCTAGAAGATATCATAGTTGCCCTAGCTAATAAAAAACAGTACGAGGCCAAAAATAGCTTTCAAATAAAAATATCGGGAGGAAAAACAAAAATAAAACATACATTTTTTGTTTTACCGAATTCGTCCCATCCTATGCTTATCGGCATTAATCTTCTTCATAAATTAAATTTTTTTTTTAAATTTAAACAATAAGAACATTAAGTTTATTTATTTATTTAAGAATATACAGGCTGATGCCCTTACATTAAAATTATAATTAGAACAATTGTCTAATACATTTAATCAATTAGGTTTATATCATTGTAACGACCTGGCTAGCAATAACACAGTGCAACACATAAAATGTGTACTAAGTTTTGACTTCAGTTTCTGAAAGTACTTATCGAAACTAGCAAAAACCTATTTCAGTTTTGCTAGATTAGCTCGGATTTGAATTTTATCGACATTTGAATTTTTTTTGAATTTTCACATTTTATTGCAATTCACATTTTTCAGTTTTCTGATACGGGTGGATGGGAACACTGGCTACTAGAAGTTTATTAAAAAAATTCGCAATGGTCACAATTTGAAGAGCAATAATCCCTCTTTAATTACACGGAAAGAAAAAAAATTTGGTCGAAAATTATTCCAGTTACGATTTTTTTGTCTTTTTTACATTTTTCGG